AACTTCTTCCTCAGATGGTTTAGCAATGGCTTGGAGCTGCTGCGAGTATCTCTTATCACTCAAAGCGTAAGCATTTTTTACTGACTTTCCCCCACCAAACTCACCCAAAAGGTACTTGATAAGTAAGTTTAAAAGTGCGTTTTTTTCTGCTATCATTCTTCAGGTACACAGTATTTGCAACCCATATGGACAGTCTCGCAGAGTTAGCAACCATCTACCCAAATGTCAAGGTTCTTCACTTTTATGTAGACATCAGAGACAACCGCTTAGACTTCAAGGTTTCCTCGTTTCCTCTTCTCTCTAGCATGGGTTCGGGGTTTAGCTACTACTGCTGCTAAATGGTACATTTTTTTGTCAGTTTCAACTGAGAGATGGAACCCTGCATGTTCCCCACTACGGCCTTCTGTTAGCCGAAGTGGCTGGTCTGCCTAATACAGTGATTGAAACAGCGAGGACCATAACCTTAAGGATCACAGACGAGGTAATATTATACCCTTCCCTTACTAAATTGAAAGCGTATTTATCTTTTGTCCTATGAGTCCTCTTGTTAATGATGAATGTTGGGCAGGAAGAGAAAAGAATAGAGCGAAATTGCGGGAAGCACCACGAAATGCATCGTATCTACCGAGTGGTTCAAAAGTTGATTTGCCTGAAATATTCTAGACAGGCAGAAGACAGTTTCACTGAAGAAAGACTAAAGAGAAATCACTTCAATCCATTCTCCTCTACCAGGTACAAAGCTTATCATACAATTAGCTTCGACATTGTCCACTTTTTAAAAGAACCAAGATATCTCAAGTCTATTCACATTCAGAAGTACGAGCAAATCTCCATACTCTTTCATGTAAAAACAAAACCAACATCAAAATTAACTTAGCCTTATGGTCAGATTCAAAGTTTTAAGAAACAAAAACTTGAAACAAACTCTCGACTGTGAAAGTCTTCCATCTCAAAGCAATTCTAGAATTCAGAAATATAGATCCACACAGAAGATATACCACTTGATAAAAACAAAACATAGAGTTGATGATCGGTAANGACGGAGAGAGAGATGCTGTTGTTTGTCTTCCAGGTAGACCTGNGGGAAGGACGGTTCTTGTGGTTGTTGTGANCCCTTCCACGACGAATCTTCTTTCCTTCCGAGGTGTGCCNTCTGAGTNTGTGCACTGGGTTGCAGATCCAGTTGGTCCTTGGATCGTTCCGGATGGCATTGGGTGCAGGGTCAACTAGGATGATCTCATAGTACTTGTAGGTAGAGTTCTAAGTAATCAGAGACAACCACATCATTAATTAACAGAATCAATCATCATCATATAACATATCCAACTATGTCAACAAAACATTAAC